CGCCTCGTGGAGCCTAACAGCGGAGCACTACACGAAGCTCAATGGGACCCACCGCCAGTTCCTTACACGGTGCATCGGCTGGAGGAAGCGGAAACGCTCAGACCGCCCCCTGTCCTATGCCCCTCATCCAGGCAGGCTGCGAGGAAACCATCGAGGCCACCGTGCGCAAACGGAGACTGTGTTTCGCGGGCTTTGTTATGCGCATGAAGGACAGCCGCCTCCCCAAGCGCATGCTGTTAGGAGCGATGGCGGGGGGCGTGGGATACCGGGGCGGGCAGGAGAGCGACTGGGTGTCTCGCCTAGGAGAGGACCTCGTGGCCTTCAACATGGGAGACGAAAAGGAAGGGGGGAAATGGAAAGAGAGCGCCAAGGACCCGGAGGTGTGGTACAACAAGGTCGAGGACGGGGCGGCATGGTTCATGAGGAAATGGCACAGGCAGGAGGCGGAAGCGTCCGCGAAGCGCCAGCGCGCGAGGGAAGCAGAAGCAGAGCGTACGACCATCTCAGGACCGAAGAGAAAGAGAACCGGCGAAGCGGCGGTGGGGGGGAAGAAACGGCGAACGGGCACTGCTGTAGAAGCGAGTAGGGCGGCCGAGGCAGCACTTGTGGCGAACAATGTACCCGGCTGATGTTGTTGCGCCCTGTTTCCCTTCCTGCTGTATGCTATACTCCTTTATGTATGTCCTTTGTATTGCCTTCGGCGCCTGTGCTGTGTTTCCTTTTTTCATGTGCTCCCTGCCTACTCTGCTGTGTTGGGTACCTTGAACTCGCTTTTGCTGTTGCCTTTATTTTTGTACGTCTTGCTGTCTGCCCATCTGCCGCCTCTTTGTCCTGTTTGCTCCGTTACTCCCATGCCCTGGCGCGTAGTGCCTGGTACTGGTACGTTACCCTTTGATTTTTTCTTTGGGCGGGTGTGGGAAGCGTCCTCCTTATTTTTGTTTTTCTCTTATTTTGATCGGTTTCCGAGGGCTCTTTTCTCGAACGGTCGGTGCGATACCTGTTCTTTTCTTCCTATCATTTTGTTTTCTTTTTCCGAGTGGTTTGTACCCTAGTTTTGTTTTGTTTCCCCGCGGCGTCGTATGTGCCGGGTTTTGAGACCACGGGCTCCCCATTTTTTTGTGGACTACAGAGCTAATGTGAGAAACAACAACACAACAATTTCCCCCCTTTTTTTTTCGCCGAAAACCTGTCTTTCGATTGTTTTTGGCGCTCATTTCATGTAATGAATGAGAAGGATAGGTTATTTCGTGGTAGTTTAGGTATCGTATTCTTAACCTTACTACACCGATAGTTTTCTTGTTTGTTTTCCTTCCCCAACCATCCGAAGATAGCTACACCTCGTGTTGAAACCACGGCAGTTGGTGCAAAAAAACAAGCGTTTGAACTCATATACATACCAATAGATGTCCGGAATGTATTGGTCACGCCAACGTATTCGACACTGGGTCGTGATAGACTCCATGATGTGTCTTCGTGTCTCTCCCGAAATCACGAGCGGAAGGTGTCTGATGGACACCTATAAGCTACTTGATCAGTTCAACTTGTGGGCCAGCGGTAACACTTGTTGTGCAAGGGTTGTTAATCGCTGAAGGCTCTAAGAATGATGAGTATTGGCTTGTATGGGATGTTCGGAAGCTTGTTGCAGGAATTTCAGGCATACGGTGTGTAAACAACAGATAATGCTGCTTGTGTAAGACTCATCGTTGGTACTGCGGAGTTCGAAAGCATGGTGTACCTAGAGTTGGATCACTCGACTGTTCCTCGCCAGTATTTGTCCCCAAACAACTGCTGAGGTAGTATCCGAGTATTCGGACACGTCCCTCTTTACCGTTTGTGTACACGTGATATGTATCTCGTGTTTGCCTTCTTGTTCCTTTTACCCTTCCGTTGAGCTTTGGATGTTTTAGTGCTTTTTGGTTGACTTCTGTCTTAAGCAGCTCGCGCGGGTGCTAGAGGTTGGTGACCGGCCCGTAACTTTTTGTTTATTCCTAACGCTTGGACCTTCCGAAGGTTTGATTCGCTTGGATGATGGTTGAGCATCGTCTCGTTTGCGTTTCGAATTCTTGGTTGGTGTATGCGGTTGTTGGATTTTTGGTGCAGGATCTAAACCGTGTGCTGATCTATATGCAGAAATCATTTCCCGGCACTGAGGAATTTCATCTGCACGATATATCAAGTGTGACTCGGGACCATATCCTCTCAGGCATAACCTGTAGGTGTAATTGTGAGGACCTTTACGACCACGACCACTCATGTGGCTCACCACTTTCTGAACCACATATCTTTCTATCCGCTGATGATCATCAGTGGTTTGATCCACAGTTGCCCGGGGAATGTGTTTCCCGAGGAAGTACTCAGCTAGTTTGTCAAACTGTGGTGCTGGTGGAGTGTCTCTGGCATGTTACTGCTTCAAGTGGGCGAGATGGACGGATACTTCGCCTGTCTCGTTTGGCCGTTTTACTCGATACACAAATGGTGACAATTGTGAACAAATAATGTACGGCCCACCCCACGGCAAAAGCAGTTTCGGGTTCGGCCCGTCTGAGTCTTGGTACGGCTTGAATAGAAGCACTTTTTGACCTGGTTTGAACACGGGAAACTGCGACAATTGTTCGTTTCGTGCAGCTTGTTTTGTGGCTCGTTCAGTCAAGTTTTGTCTTGCCAGTTCAAAAGCAATCTGTAGATTATCGCGAGTTTTCTTGGCGAATGTTTCGGTGTCTGGTGCAGATTCCACGTGTGGAATGCCCAGAATTTTATCTACAGGTAAACTTGCTTGGCGACCGAACATGAAAAAATACGGAGTTCCATGCATGGTTTTGTTGAAAAACGTGTTTTACGCTAACTGAACCATCGGTAAAAGCTCCACCCAGTTGTTACGATCCATGAAACTGTGCATCGCGAGCATTGCATGCATTGTCGGATGTACTCGTTCAGACACGGAATTACCCTGCGAACGATATGGAGTCGTGCGGGTTCTCTGGTATCCAAGAGCGTTTGTAGCTGGTGAATGATTTTGTTTTTGAATTCGGTGCCTTGATCAGAATGTAGCATTTCTGGTGGTCCAAAGATGCTGATTATCCTTTCGATTAACACGCTCGCTATGGTTTCAGCGGATTTGTATTGGATCGGTGTAAGGACTGCAAATCGTGTCAGATGGTCCATCGTTGACAGCGGGTATTTACAGTACTCTCCTGTGTTTGAATTTGAGAGTGACTTGTGCTCAACTAGATCAACCGATATTCGTTGAAATGGCCGCTGGACATGTACGTGCCCCGTCGGGAGTTTCGGACGACGGTGGGGTGTTTTCCTGCGTTGACATGCCTGACATCGTTGACACCAGTTGCGGGTATCACGAGGCATTGACGGCCACCAGTATTTCTCTCTAGGTTTTTCGTATGTCGGTCGGAAAGCTAGATGCCCACCCGAAAGCGTATGATCATGATAAGCGTGCATTACTAGACCCGTGAGATCTTGCGGCAATACCAGCTGATCACTGAACGTGCAACGTTTGCGGATGTGTCCAGGCAAGTACGACTTCAACAGTAATCCGACCTGTATTGAGTAATATGACGTTGTCGTTGCTGTTTCTCTGTGTGGGAGAGGCGCATGTTCGTGAAGGATGTAGTCGATATACTCCTTGTATTCTTTACGTTGCTTCTCGCGTAGCTTGGCATGGTTACAAATGTAACAGTGAAATACCCGTGTAGTGCTGACAGTGAACAACTCCGTATCGCTGCGGACAGGTCGGACGTCATTTTGTTTATCTGCTGACACTAGGTAAGGTCTGGTAGGTATGGCCGTTTGGAGCTTCGGATCATCTGCTACGTCGCGGCAAATCGGAGCAAGAGGTGGTACCTCGCGTGCTTGTTCATTTTCAAAAAGGAAAAGACGCGATAACGTGGCGGGTACATTTAGTTTCCCCGGTTAATGCTGAACGCTAAAGTCAAAGGATTGCAGTGCAATTGCCAAGCGTGTAAGCGCATTTGACGTGTCTTGCATCGTGTAGAGATACCTTAGCGCTGCGTGGTCAGTGACGCACGTAAAGTGTCGACCCCATAGGCACGGCCTCCAATGTTCAATTGCCAATACTACAGCGTAACACTCCTTCATGGTTGCGGAATAGTGTCGTTGGCTTGTGTTGAATCGCTGGCTAAAGTAAGCAATGATATTCAGGTCTTCACCTTTCTTCTGGGCTAGGAAGGCTCCTGCACTAGTTTCAGATGCATCGACATGAATCACGAATTTTATAGAGAAATCCGGGAAACGCAAGACAGGTGCTTTCGTAAGCAGACGCTTTATTTCGGCAAATGCCTTATCATGTTCCGGACCCCAGTGTTTCGAGACCGATTTGACTGCTTCCTTTATCGTGAGGTCAACCAAGGGTGCGGTGATGGCGGCTAGGTTCGGTATAAATTTACTGGCATTGTTCACCATACCTAACACTGAACGTAGTTCCTCGATGTTCGTGGGTGTAGGTAAATCTAGAATGACTTTGATCCGATCCTCACCAAGGCGTATCCCATCGGCAGATGCGGTGTGTCCCAAGTATTTCACCTCTTTAGGTCCGAATTGTACCTTTGAAGGTTTTAACGTGAACCCTGCTGCCTGCAAAGCCTTGAAAGTGTTTTCCAACAAAGGTAAATGACCTTCCCATGTTGAACAACAGATTAAGCCATCCATGTATCCAAGGAGGCCTGATTTCGGTCCAAAGTGAGCAAAAACTAAAGCTATACTGCGTTGGAATAAAAATGATGCATTGGCAATTCCGAAGGGAAGGCGTTTAAAACCCATTTTCCATTCCGTGTTACAAAGGCGGTTTTGTCTTGCTCTGCTTTGTCGGTGATGGGTAGCTGGTGGTATGCGCTCTGAACGTCAGACAGTGATGTATTTCGCACCTGCAACGGTGTCAATGTGGCTAGCCATTTCCGGCATGGGCCATGATTTTCGGATTAGGTGTTTGTTGACCGTGGTCCGGTAGTCTACACAGAACCTGGGTGTACCGTCAGCTTTGGCTACTAGCGTTACTGCGGAACCCCAGGGGCTCGCTTTTTGTTCAACGATACCTGCTTCCTCCGTATCGTGCACACACCTGTCATTTACCTCTTGTACACGCGGATTCGCGCGGTGAGAAGTTCCGTTAACAGGGCGTGTACCCGGCTCTAGGGGAAAGTCGGCTTCTGTGAGAGTTCATTTACCTAGCTCACTGGGACTTAGTGAGAAGACGGAACGGTAGCGTGTACACAGTTGTAACACTTGCTCACGCTGTTCCTCGGAGAAGGTGGTTTGGGCGAAAGCTTTCGTGAGCGCTTTTTCCAAGTCTTCGCGGTATTTCGCGGCTTCGTCAGGGCTCGATTGTACTCGACTTACTGTCTGCGGAAGTACCGATTTGATAGGAGAGATGTATCCTACCACCATTCTCGCTGGCAAACGTGCTTGTCGGTTAGATGGATTGGCGATTTGAACCACGGCTCCCTTTGTGCTGGACCAATGACACCCCGCACGAGCAACGACAATCCGATGGAAAGCCTGTGGCGTATCCGGTGAGGTGATGTCCTCCGAGGTGATGATGCGCGGTTCTACCAAGGCAGTTACGGTTTCTGCAGGGGTGCCACCGTTGAGTGGATTTCTACAACCTTTTCACTGCGTGCCGGTATGCAACATTTATTGTTGAGATGAACCGGAACTGGTTCTGCTTCGCCGTCTTGTACTACTATCGAGCAGTTTGCGTCGCCCGATGTATCAGTTGTTGGGTTTCAAGTTCTGCGGTGTGTTGCTGAAAAAGTGCAGTTTGATTGCTTGAAAGACAATGTTTCTGCTCGCCAATCAAACACTCCGCCAAATGCTCCCATGATGCTGTTGTCTAACAACATGTTATCGGGGCCCAACGATGGTTATACTAAGGTTTCTACCGGTAGGGTGATACCTCCCAGAGTGAGATTAAATCGAGTGTATCCCTCAATTTTGAGGGGAGAGTTGTCTGCGCTACGCAGGTTGATTACTCCGCGGGGGACGGGAAAAATTTCCGCGTGTTTGAGCGTGTTGTGACGTCGCATAGATGCTGCTGAAATACACGGAATGTCACATGCCGTGTCAATCGTGATGTGATCGGCGGGGTGATTATTTGCTCTGGCGGCTACACGTACGCGCTTGGAGGACGCGTTAGTCCCCGAGGGGTACTCAGGGTATCCCGCAAGTGCCGATGCATAAAAAGCAGAAAAATCATTATTATGCACGTCAGAAGGCATGAGACGCGATCTATGCTTCGACTGTACAACGCCGTCAACGGTAGCTACGTACAAAGCTTGTGGCGCTAGGGCCCGCGAACGTTTACTGCGCTTGGCTACGTGTATTGCTTCTGTGCCAACGTGGTGTATCGACCGCGGTGTCAACTGTGACAGTACCTGGTCTGAGTGTTTTGCGATTGTTGGTTGCAAGACCGTACGCAAGTGGACTCAGATGCCGCTTCGGGAACTGTACTACGAGTTACCTTATGTGCTTGTGCTACCACCAGAGGCTGAACATGTTTTGGGTGATGCCCAGGATTCTTCTCGTCTACTCCTACTCTCTCTGTTACTGCTGTTGGGTCTCCAGACGTGTCTCCCAAACAGGCCGAGGAATGGTGCCCATCTAAACTATTCTATCCCTGCTTCGAACCTATTTCGACAACCATGCGGCCACTCTTGTGTCCCGTTGTTCTGTACGGCGTTCCTGCCGTGAAATACGTGAACCGTTTGCTCTCCCCGCACATCCAGGGTACGTGCACTCCACGCCCCACGTGTTATTGCTTCCGTCAGATGAAGTGTCAGCGTCAAACACAACCTTCTTCTTCTGGTTGCGATCGTCAGGGATTCGCTCAGCGAAAGACGACCCCCCGCTTGTGGGTGGAAGGTCCCCGACTGTGACTACGGCCGCGTGATGCGCTGGAGACATGGCTGTCCTCGTTGGTGCGCATTTGTTGTTCAAGCTGGGTGACCCTATTCTCGAGTACGCCCGCTTGATTTTTCAGCTGCGGTGGTAGTGTAGAGTCGAGAGGGGAAGATGCCGATGCGGTTGATTCAGAGTTTGCTGAACGCAGTTGGTTTGTTTCATATTTGCGGGCACGCATTTTAGAAGTCATGAACGTTTAATACGCGTCCTCTCTAATCATCTCTACCCTGATGTCTGGTGGTAAACCGTTATCAAACGATGCAATGAGTGCTTTGTCAAGTGCGTGTTCGTGAGCAGACATGTTGGGTGGTGCGGTCCGTTCGGCTTCGGCAAGAAGTCTAGAGTAGGTTCGTGAGACTCTAATCGAAAGCAAATCGACACTCTCATTTGGCCTCGCGTGCGAGAAGCACGATGCTGTTCGCAGGCGCAAAGAGAGTAGTCATAGCATTAACCCATTGTTTCCAGGTTTTCGGAGGAGGGATGATGACTTGTTCACCTCGTGCACGAACTGCGGCCACTTGCTGTTCCGACCGTCACTCCAAGCTTGAGCTTTGAATGAGATCAAGCGTTTGTGCCGCGGCGCCTTTCGTTATGAGACGTAAGTTCTTGATAGCCCTACGGTCGATGATGTCATCCGCGGTGTTTTCGGGCAGTGAGAGGCGGATGTGTGTGCGATACTGCCCCATGATTTCGGGTACATCTTCCGATGGGAGACCCTCAAGTTTCAGTGTTGACGGAAACTCGGAAGCTTTGAGAGCGCGAAAAGTATCTTGAGTTGCGCGATTGCATTGCTCGTATGTGTGAGTGGCGAGATCGTTCTGCTGCGTCTGTGACACGTCTCCACTTTGCTGGGGTGAGAAGGTGCTACATTTGTCTGCTGCTGTTGTGACCCAGTTCCACCTTGCTGGGGTGAAGATGCTACGCGCTGCTGCTGCTGCTGCTGCTGCTGGGATGAGACAACTTGCTGAATGATCGAGGTGTCAACGGAACGATCGGCAGAAAAGTCGGACTCCAAACGGTGTGGTTTCACCTGGGTGATTGCTGTGGTTTGCACCGGTGTTCCCATGGCGAGACTCATGATCCAGTCATCCGACTTGACCTTGTTGTCTCTGGCTTCCCTCAAGCTCTCCTCGATAAACGGTCCCAGAAGTTGCGTGATGGAAGCAGAGGGCGAGGGCTCGGTATCGGTGGATTGCGGAGGAAGTTGGCCGAGGACATCGGAGAGCAGTGCGCGAGTGGAATCGGTCGGATGGGTTTCTCCGTCTTCCCGGCTTCCATCGGCTGGGTCATCCTGCGCTTCCCCGGCAAGAGCGGAGTAACGGTTATTCGGATCCACCCCTCCGCCCCCGGAGCTGCCACCTCCATTGCTGGAGCTGCCACCCCCAGCGCTGGAGTTGCCGCCTCCATTTTCGGGGTTGCCACCTTTTTCAGCGCCGTTGCGTACAACGCTAGCGTAGTCTTTCGAGCCGTTGACGAAGAGTCAACGTTGTCAAGGGGTCCTTTACCGTTGTTGGACGATTTCTTGCCCGGTGACTGCTGAGACTGCTGTGTAGGCTGCTGTGCAGACTTGAGTTTGGGTTTGGCTGAGGGGGTCTGCAGAGCACCGCTACCGGCGCCCGTGCCCGCCTGCTGGTTCGGACCGACCTTGTTGTCTTTCCTCCTATGAGTGTTGCCCATGTTAGAAAAATGGGTGAACAGAGGAGAAAAACACAGAGACCGCTCTTCGTCGAAGCCAGTATGAATGCCCTCAATTTCGTGTGAGCTGAGGTTCCAATTTGGCGAGATGGTATATGCCTACCACCGGAGGCAGGCCAGTTTACTCTGTTGAGATGTGACGAGGAACGTCAAGCGGTGACCGAGCGTGCTCGGTCAAGGCTAGGGTAAGGTTGCGAGTGGGCGTTGGCCGAGACCCTTCTTGGCTATCGGTACCAACCATAAAGATCCACCCCGATTCCTGTCGGAGCAAATAACCCACAAAGTAAAGGTCCAGAGTAGAGCGATGAATTATCGTCTGCCGAAGGTTATTTACTCCCTTCATATGTGTGTGTAAGTATAAGAAGATACGAATATCCTGGCTTCCACAGTCGTATGATTTTCACGCTTTGATAAACGAGAAATTTCAGTGTAAGTAATTAGTTTGCAATCGTGGCCACAAGCTTGTTCGGTGCGCCCCGAACTACTTTTTGCTGAGCGAGCCGCAGAGCAAGGGATACTAGGATATGCTGCGTGGTGTGCGGGTACAGCTACCTCAGGCTTGAATTCCTCGTCCGTGCGACATGCCGAAGATGTTTGCTCTTGGGCGGGTGCGTGGGGCCTTTTCATTGTGCGGTTTGTATGTCCGGTTTTCGACGGAACTGCTGTGTTTTGGCAAGGCGCTTTTCAGGACAATCTTCGTCGAAAATGGTACCCATGACACCTGCTGGAGTGATCCAAAACCGTCAACGTTGGGTAGCGCAATACTCCGAATATACATTGTAGTTTGCGAGGTGTGATCTCATGGACCTCGCCGTCGCCGTGCCATGCATATGAGTAAAACCATGCATGTGAACTGTAGCACCACGCGCCTGCACCGTTGTTTCATCCTGCCGCAAAGAAACAAAGGGTACCCGAATGTAGCTCATGAGTTCTTGAATGAGTTTGACGGGAAAGTAGAAAATGACCGTTTCGTCACACCATGCTTCGGATCTGCCACGCGAAACGCCCAAAACTCGCGACAGAGCCACGATTCGACTCAAGACCGTCCCCCAAATGGCCACGAACCCTCTTTGAATGCGTTCGTACAACACGCAGGATCGAGACGCGATGTTTTGCTTCTGCGGAGGAGTCAGCAGAAAGCGTAGAACAAGGAAGGATTTCGTCTCGGCAGTAGCAGGTTTGTTTGATGTGTCGCCCCGTTTCTGCTTCATTCATACGTGCACACCAAATTCTTGCCGTCGGAAACGTTGAATCATATTAATTCCCATTTTCTTTTGACTACCGGCCGTAGTAGTGCTTTGTGATGGCACCCATCGGGGTTTCGTACCCATCTAAGTCATGGCACGGATATCCTGTAGATGAGCAAGAACGAGATATTAATAGTGTAATTTCCGCACCGGTATTTATTTAGTATTGCCGCACCCTGGTGCGATTGCACCGATAGACCCCGCTTCGGGATTGTCGTTAAAGACGCACTTCGAGTGTGGGTTGCGTGCTACCGCGGAGTGGCTTCGGCTGCTTTTCAAGCTACCTCCGTACCTCCGACTACAATACCGTTTGATATGCAGGCATTGCCCAATGCGCCCGAACATGTTCTGTCAGGTTATGAGGGGATCGTCGTCGAAGGCAGTACCATCAGCCGCAGTCCCAGCGCTACCCACGGTGGGCGCAGGCAGGACGACAGGACTGCTACCATCGAGGATAGAGATGGGGATCCGGGGCAACATCTCGCGCCCCGATTGTCCGAGACGCCCCCGCCGTATCACGAAGCGATAGCGGTGAATATCATTGATGGCTTATGTCTGTCCGCAGAATGTGCTCAATCCGAGAGGAACGCGTCTGTCTTACTTCGACTGCAAGTACATTATCCCGACTTTGTCCGGGGTCCAGCACCAGACGGACAGTCATGCAAGTATAACTTCGCTACATGCATATGTCATTTTCGGCAGCACCGACTCACCATCCCTTTTCCTGCTGCTTTGACCTCTAACACTGCCTGGATGTTCAGAGGAACGGGTCCTGCGAGGACCATTCTCAAACACCACGGACGGCCCCGGGGTTGATCCCCAAGATATCTGAGCTGACCAAATCGATGCCCCCGAGTGAGCAGACATCGACGCCGATGCTGGTATGCCCTGAACGTTCTGAGAGCTTCGAAAGCGTTCCTGACGACGACACACTTTCGCAGTGGCCAAAGTGGATCAACCAGCCATACTCTGAGCACAAACCTAGCGTGCTGGATGCGGAAAAGGCGAAGGTGGATGCGGTCAACAGATCTGAACAGGCTGGTTGCGACGACGACCGCTCCGCATGGACCCGTTGGATGGACGCACCGATGCCTATGGACGCACAGCAATCAGCGCTGTCTAGTTGGACCAATGAGACCGATTCCGTGGCCGCACAATCTACTCAATTTGGCTGGATGGAAACCAGATCCATAGATGCACTCTCCGTTCAACCTGCCTGGTACAACGAAGAGGGATCGGTGGGCGCACCATCCACGCGACTTGGCTGGAATGACGACACTGGATCCGTAAATTCACAGTCGGAGCAACCCGGCTGGAGTAACGAAATGGCATCGGTAACGGACGACCCAGGGTTCAGGCGCCTTGGTTTGGTACACTATTCCGCATCCGTGGGCGCTCAGTCGGTACGACCCGACTGGATCAGTGAAACCTCGTCGAGAATGGACGACACAGAGTCCGTCGGGTTTCATGCTCGGCAATCCAGCTGGTTTGCCAAGCCCGGCTCCGTGGTACATGAATCGGAGTCAGCGGGACCTGATCGGATTCCAGGGGAGGCAAGATCGCAGTCACCCAGATGGGTCAACGGAAAAAAGACCGTCCCTACGTCGGGGGGCCGACTGTCAGGGTGGGATTCTCCGAAGAACACGCAGGAGGATCACTCGGATGGCCACGAGATGACAATGGGGGGACAGTCCAGCTCTGAAGGCGCTGCAAGGTGAGTCGTATGCACGGGGTACTTTGCATGCTGTCGCCAATCACTTTGGTGTGTACCGAAGGTTGAACCGTCGCCATGCTGTCTTTTGTTTCGCCTAGAAGCTAGGTTACCTTTTCCCTTCGTTATGCCTCACACCGAGCGGCATTTGTTGTTAGCGCTGTGTCTCGTGGTGAGATGCCCTCTTTTTCGTAGTAACCCCACCTCCACCCGCTTCCGCCCCCTCCCTTTGTACAGGCCTCAGAGCGAGCTGGCGGAATCCCCACCAACAATTGCAAAACGTGTGACTGGAGGGGCAGCGCATGATACGCCTGGAAAAGTCCATCACGGTGATAGTGGTAGCGACAGGAGCGACGAGGGCGGGCTGATGGGTCTGATCATCGACACCAACAGAGAGGAAGCCATCCGTAGGAGAACAGCGAGGTCGCGTGGCACAGCGCGTGCTCGCTTCGTTTTCTTGTCTTCCCCGACCGAGCGGACCTCCAAAGACATGGGAGACTCGCCGAGGCAGCAAGCCCCTCGACAGCCAACTGCGGAGGTGCCAGCGGCTATGAACACGATCGTACGTTCACAGACTCTGCCCGCGCCTGAAAGTGTGTCTACGCCGACCGCGGTAGCCGTTGGAGCAAAGCGATCGCCTACTCCCACTGCGCCATCGAATTTTGGCGAAGATGTTGCATCTTCGAGCCCGGCCGCAAGGCGAGACATGCCTAGTTTGAACGGCATTAACAGAACGGGGGAGCGCGGGGGGAGGGGCCGGCGAGATGGGACAAACAAGATCCCTTCAATCCCGCGCGATGCTAGTAGCGACAGGGCTGATGCGATCGAAGTAGGCGCTAAGGAGGCCAGGCGTTTTTCGTCGGGGGTTCAGCGTGTTTCCGGAGTTGCGGTGTTGCCAACGACTGACGGCGGGGTAAGGAGCGAGAGGGAAATGATGAGTGGATCCACTCCTCGAGGAAAGCCTCCTCTTACCTCGAAAACGCCCGACAGTGCCGGCAGCGAAAACAGGTGAGCAGCTTTTATGTCGATGTTTTCCACCTTTGTTTTCCCGTCCCCATCGCCATGCAAATCGTAGCCCCTTGCGGCGACCTTAGCAAGAATTGTGCATATCAGCTGTGTCAAGTCGGCGATATTCTCCCCAAGCATGTGGTGCACTCGACTGTTCGTTGTCGGACCACGTGTTCACGTGTCCTTTCTGTACAATGTACATTGCCCGAGTCGCTGTCGGTGTCTCACTCGCATGCTGACTAATTTCGCCGACGGGCGGCGGATCGATTAACCAGCGCGCTGGGAGGGAAACCCGTCAACCCGGAATTCCGGGGCAACAAGGGGCCACAGTCTTCTCCACGCAAGAGACCGGTGAACATGCCGCCCCCGCAAGTGGTAATTCGTGTCAGTAGCCCTGCGCACAAACCACGCGGCACTCCGAAGCGTATAGGCAGCAAGTCCCGCAAGCCTAAAGAGAGTGCGGACGGCTCCTCGCGCAAGTCGAATAACGACGAAGCCCGTCCACGTAGATCCTCCGAAACGAGCAGCGCAAGCAGCGCAGACAGCGCCAACAACCTCAGTAACGGGAACGCTCGACGTCGAGACCGCCTGCCGTCGTCAGAGGTTGCCCCGGAGGCAGTAGAAGTGCGGGTCAGGACGTCTCTGGATCAGCCTCCAGCTCAGCCAACCCCGGGGAGGAAGGCCTCATCAACGAGCGTGCCTTCTGCCCCTAAACGAGAGATCAAGATGTGGAACAGCAAGGACCCCGCTGGTGCGGCCACCGCGGCAGCTGCGTCTGCTTCTGCTTCTGCTTCTGATTCTTCTTCTGCTTCTGCTGCTGCTGATGCTGATGGAGCTGCGGAACGCGAGGCGACCGCGCTTGCGCCCGCCCCTACACTAGCGCTTGTGAACGCGCAACGCGTGGTTCAGCCCTTGTCCAAGCCGATAGTGCCGCGAAGAGTCCGGGGACAGCAGCCTTTCAAGTGAGTGCCCCCTCCTGCATACCGTTTGGTCACCAGAATGCGCTGCTGGCACGGCGCCATGTACAGGTGGTGATTGTGGATGACGCCAAGGTTTTTGCAGCTGCTGTCGTGGACGGGTTACACATTGCTCGTTTTATGGATAACTGCTGTGAAGTCCTTGTGACATCTTTCCCTTTCAATGTGCGCCACACCTTTTTTCCCCTCGGCCCCTCGATGAACAAACACGGAGGCTGGGCACGCCCCGAGAGCGCAAGACGACACGAAATCCTTCGCGAACACGCATGCGAATCAGGTCTGACCTGCCGCCATTGGAGGAGGAAGTAGGCATCCCCACGAGCCCCGTCGCAACGTAAGTGACAGAGAGAGAGAGAGCGAGAAAGCGCGCGCGCGCGCGAAAGAGAGAGAGAGAGAGAGAGAGAGAGAGAGAGAGAGATGCAGGCGTGACGACATCGGTTTGACCACCGTTGATCATTTAAGCTAGGTTCAAAGTCTCTTGCGGGTCGGTTCCCTCAAAGACCTTGGCATCCCCATGATACAGCCCCTGAATGCACCAGAATACCCTTTCAGGGGCACGTTAATGGTTTCGGTAGGTGGAAGATTTTGTTGTCGAGCACTCTCGTGCATGGGCGCGTTCTGCCGGCCCGTGTGCTGCAAAATGCTGGAGTATAAAATTGTTCGTTTTCCTTTTTTGCAGTTGCCGGTGTTGGGTCAGAGGGTGTTTGCATCCATCCCGCTCTCTCCTTTTGTGCATCCACTGATATTCAGCAGCATCAACGTCCGGTGGCCTGGCGATTTTTCGGGGTCTGCTTGTGCCGACAAGAATCATACTGCGATGGGCAGCGACAAGTACTTTGCCGAAAGGTAAAGCGGTCGTGGTTGCTTGTGATGTTGTTCTGAATATTTCTAGGCTCTACGTGTCTCGAGACGGCTGGGAAAAACACTGGGCCAATGATAGTCGAGAGAGTGTTTCAAGACAACACTTTATTGGGGCTCACACCATGGCGACCGTCTTCTGAAACAGCGAATAGGCAGTGTGAGGCTTGATGTGCGTCAGAATCTACAGCACGCTGGTCGATTGGGAAAGTCGGCGCATCAGGTCACTAAAGCCGTTGGAGAATACATACTCGCAGACGTGGCTACTGCGCGAGGGTCACCTCTTGTCAATTAACGCGCGCCCTTCCTTTTGAAGTGAATGTCCTCGGATACAATGTAGGAAGTTTGTCAAGAGAGAGGGGAGGGTGCCATGTTTCATACCGCAATGAAATAGTAACAGCAGAACGAAGTAGTTACCTATGCACGGTCCACGAAGGGTGCACTTTGTTACGCTTTGTTCAATGAACACTTGACAGGCTGCTTGCGGAGAAGCTCGGAAAAGCTCTGCATCACGGCGCTCCTATTACATCCCCTGGGACCCTCCCGAATAGCGCTGCCAACAGGTATTGAAACGGTTCAAGACACCACAACGTTGCACGATGCGACAGTGTGTAAAGGGGTCAATGAGAGTCGAGAGTGCTAACGTTTTTTGCCAGATCGGAGTGGATTTTTGCGCCCGCCTAGTACTCGCAGTTGCAACAAGGAGACGTGTTGGTCCTTGTACCCCGAATTTTTTAAGTCCATGACATGATAGGACATGATGGTGGTGTCCGTTTGTTTCATTTATGTGCATACCGTGGTTGGAAGAGTTAGCTACTACAGTTCGTGCAACGCATCACGCAAACCCGCGTTTGGGAGTTGGAGAGCCACAGCGCGACAGCTAGACAACAGGCAAACGAGGACGGCCGGTACAGAGGGACAGACAAGGGAGGGCCGGCGCAAACACAAGCAGGATGCACACAACCAGCCGGAGCTTTGCCCCCACTCGAATGCAACATTGACATTGACAAACGTGACAAGCGTGTTTGTGTGTGCACCTTCGACACGTCACTTGTGCCTCTTGCTTTTCTGCAGCGACCAGGCGCAAAGAGGAGGAAGAGGAGGCCGGGAAGCAAAACAAAGCAGAAAATAGCAAAACAAGGCAGGGGAAAGAGGCACAACACAACAGACAACACATAGAACACCCTCCCACGGAAGAATTTGAGTGGTGGCGAGGGTTGCTTGGTTTTTTCAATCGCATAATGCACAGATGCAACACCTTCAGACATCAAACAACCAGATCTCCGTGATCACACGAGAGTGCACAGACATGTTGTGGGTGCGTTCCGTTGTGTTGCCTCTGCTCGCTCAGCTTTCAATGGTGACCTGAAACTTTGTTGTTTAGAATCACCTAGTATGTGTTTTTTGTTAACGTCCCTGTCACACTTCGTTTTGAATCAACTGCCTTGACACAGGCTCTCTCGAGGTGACGCTATACTTGGACAAAATCGACACAGTCGTCGCTTCGCTAGCTAGCTAGCACTTCGCTGGAGGCGGGGTCCGTCCCACAGAATACACTTTTTCATATCCATCTAAAAGACCGCTTACAGCTACTACAAAGGTCGCAAGTCCCTCGTCTTTTTCAGAACCCATTGAACGCTCGATTCGCACGGGAGTCGTCATGAAATTGCACGTGTCGAGGGCAAGCGCTTCTCGATTTCCGACGGTAGTGTTCGCGGTTCAATTCTAACCCAAAATAATTGGTGCGTTCCTCCCGTTTCCGTTGAATGTCTGCCTTTTCTGGCGTAGCCACAGCAGTCTCCTGCTGGAAGTGGCGGAAGCAAGTGCCACGAAGTCACAGGTGGACGCAGAGCACGGCAAGTCTAGTGCTAGAGCATCCGACAAGGACGAGGCGGCCAAGAGCTGGCTCAACCGCCGCGCCCAACGCCATTCGGGCAACCTGTAAGTTTGCCGCACTTCGCGTAGTCCACCGCGCTGTTTTTTTGTTCTTCACTTATCACGCATGGCAGCACACCCCGTTATCCGAAGTGACGCAAGCAACTTCCGTTCGAAGAACCCTGTTTCGGTGGCTGCTGTTGCTGCTGTCTGGCCGACTTGTTGCTGAAGACCCCCGCCTCTCCTCACGTCGTGTAGTGTAGCTGCACAGCAGCCCTCCCACATGCTGCTTTGGTTCAATAACGATGCCTGTTCGGCAGCCCGTACAACGGCATAGTTGACAGAATCGTGTTGGTACACGTATCGAGGTACTCTCATGTAATTTCATCTTACGCTCTCATGCTGTGCATGTCCTGCTTCTGTTTCGTTCTTCAGAAGTCGAGATGATTCATTCAGGCGCAGAGGGTCGCAGCGGTTGTCAAAGCCCTCCAGCTGGGACGACCTCAGCTGTAGCAGCTTTGGCCCACGGGCGATGTTCAGGTGCGCACGATGTTGGGTTGCTTTTGCGTGGTTTTACTTGTTGTAGTGGGCATGTGCTTTCACCCGGAAAACAATGAGCAGCTCGATTAGTTATCCACGTACCGTATGTTATAAATTGGCACGCGTTTTTTCCTGAGGGAGGTGAGGGGTGTTGGCTGCTTCCTATGCATATATTCGGGGGACATCGGCCTTGGCCGGCCTAATCTACGAGCCTGCAAACGAGGCGTCAGCGTGTTCGTGGCTGCAGCACGCGTCTCACTTAACTATGTATGTACTCTGTTGCTCATGACCCTATTCCCTTTTTTGTGACCATTGACTCTCCTCTCGGTCTCCTTGCTCAAACCAGTCCTGGCAGGTTCAACCCTACCGCTGGCGCGCTGAGCTGGGTCGGAAGTGTGGACGACAGCTGGTGTGACAGCTCTGTACGCAGGTGGGGGGCAATACTTGGACAAGGACAAGTGATGTCAATCAGTTAGACATTCGCGCACAGGTAGTTCAAGTCCAATATCGGCGGCGGCAACAGGGTCGGGCTTGCCTTGGTCTAGCCACTGTATACTTCGATGCATTCCACAATCTGTAAAACCTATTTGAGTGTGTGCCTACACACTGCAGAAGCTAGTCAGTTGGCTTCCGCTCCCACCACGCCGTCGAACCATGACCTTCCTTTTTCTTGAGGTCGCTGTTTTCTTCACATTGAACATCGTTCGGACCACTATCCAGCAATTTACCTTCTGTTGCCTAAGGTAGCTTCGTTCAAAGGAGAACTTGTTTCGGTCGCCACGAGCTATTCGTAAACCCAAAGTAAGGACATGTATATAATAACCAGAGACCAGAGAAAGTCCCTCCGATCGCAAAACAGCTCCTAGAAATGTGCAATCAGAGGAGGCAGGGTAGGCAACCAATGTACTTCCTCCCTTTCTCTCTTGGCTTTCTGTGCTTTCAGCGCCGTGACCGCTGGCACGCGCAACTCGTCGACTGCCAGTCTCAGCGCAAGAGGACTTTCGGACCGCAAGCTCGTCACGCCACAGCTTTCCAAGGGCGAAAAGCAAACTGTCGAACGGTATGTACTGGTATGGTACATGGACTTTTGATAAACACGTTGCATCGTCAACTCTCGAAACGTAGAATAGAACGGTAAAGAACCTCCAGGCTATTATTCACACATGTAGTTTCTCGTCTTGACGTTGTGACGGGACGCCAGCAGAGTAGAGTAGATTAGAGTAGCAACATTGAAGGCACCAGCATTGCGCTCAGGTTTTGATATTGCCCGTGCTTCGTCTCTGTCCAAGGGTTGGAGAAATGTATAGAAGTATATTTCTATCATGATTGGTCCCGCCAATCGTCACTGCACGATTTGTACTGTAGCGTTAGTGGAAAACCGTGCGCGGGTAGTCGGTAGTTTTTTTTTGTTTTATTGCTAACTCGCGTGGCTGGTTGGTTGCCCCTGTGGTGCATGCCAGGCTCAAGATCAAGCGATCAGACGTCCACTTCGGTTACCGCACTCTCGAAGGCAGCGACAGAGTGTACAAAATCGAGCTGAACGGGGAGATGCGCGCGGCAAAGGTGAGGGAGGTTGTTCCTCTTGGTCGGTACGGTGTGACGTCACGGTCACGGTCGTGGAGCCACCTGCAACATCACATGGAGCCAGGAACGTGGTAGCAGTTGCATTGCAAGCTTGATCAAGTTGCAAGCTGCCGCTCTTTCCACTGCTTCAAAATCTTTGATCCACATGTTTGCCTAATGATGGTCGCTTTCTTGCGCACTTCTTCGTTCAATTCAAGTAGTTTATGACCCACTGCTGTGCGTTGCATGAGGACATGGGAACGATGCCCCCCGTGCAGACCCCAAACCGGCGCCCTTCGCGCTCCCGTGGAAGCGACTTGTATCGTATCGCATGTTCTTGCCCTCATCACCGGCGAACACACCTGTATCGCCGTGGTTGGCATGCGCACGGCAGGTGTTCGACACCTTGGGAATGAGCAAGGAGGAGATGACGGAGGTACTGGACACTTTCGACGCGGAACTCTTGGCTCTTTCACGCCTGAGCACCCCCCACATCGTCCAGGTACACACATCCCGCACAGCTTGCTCTAGTGAGATGGCTGTTGGTTGCGCTGGCATGCACGAGAAATCGTGGAGGGTGGCGCATCAATGGAGTGTCGCGAGTTTCGTGGAGAAGCGATACCGCGATAAACGAGGTTGTAGTTTCATTTTTACGAAACCCAAGGGAGACACTTGTCCTGCCAAAATCCTACACCCAACGGGTAATGAGCTGCTCAAACGGCTCGGTTCGTCCATCTTGATATGAAGATGATGCAGGGACGCTGGAGCTGCGTATAACACAGAGGGATTCCGAGGTAGCGTGTACACGGCAACTTGTCTTGGCAGCATGAACCCCGCTCGCTGACTTACGATTACCTTCCCCGCGCCCCTAATTTGTCATTGACTTGAACGAACACACCCCATCCTTGTCTTCGAAGGCGTACGGTGCGTCTGTGTCACCAGCCGAGATTATCTTGGTGTCGGAGTTTGTGGAGGGAGGCGTTCTACGCCGTCTCCTCCACAACCCCCTCAAGCTGAAGGATCTCACGCAGAGGTAGGTGTGTATACAGTACGGCGAAAACATTACTACAGATATTTTGATATTTTGTCACATGGCAGACTATCCACATCCTCGAGCACAGTTGGACATGGACGTTAGTGCGCATCAACACCACAGCAAAAAGTCAGTAAACAGTGCCTTGAGCATGTGAACTGAACGAGTGATGCACCAAAGCGGATATGCGAGGAACGGCACCCACCAGAGGTGCTCTGTACAGCAGCAGTAGACAGGGTGTTGACGTGTTGATCATCACATGGAAGCATGTGCGGCAGGTGCTGCATTCACCGGGTACAGAGAATAGGTCTTGTGTTATCAGCGAATGCGTGTCTGTCGATAACGGGCAGTGTCGCGTCACTGGACGACAACCAAGCCTTGGAATTGTCGGCGAATTGTAATCTTACTCGTGTCAAAGTGTGCAGTACCGGTGGATAGTCTCGGTTTCACATTTTTGTCTTGGCAAGCAGAAAGTGGCGAAATACACCGGTCTTCTGAAACAGGAGCTGAGCAGTAGCTCTTCTGTGGCGCTATCATGTATGTGCTACGTGCAGTATATGAAAATTGGTGTTTGTTTCCCCACCTGAGGTGTAAGGCGGCTTCGTATATTCATTCGCTGGTGTGCGCGGTCTCATACCGGTCGCGGTTCTTTCGTCCTCGACTCGGTCATGCGTTGGCAGGGTACGCTTGGGCATTGCCAAGGACACAGCTTTGGGCATGAGGAGCCTATACGCGCACGGTATGCAGCACCGTCATCTCTCGTCCAACTCTATCCTCCTGACCAGTGACTATCGGGCCAAGGTGAGGCGCACGGTAGCGTGGCTGAAGAAAGTAGCTTTGTCTCCTGTTCAGATTTGACGTGTGCGTTCATTTCAGAACTACACGCCGGCAGGGGGGTCTTGGATTTGCAGTCGAGGAACCTGTAATGTGCCGGTACGTGCACAGAACGTTCACCGGCACTAAATCAGGCAAAATGGCAGTCAGTGTTGAGGGCTGATCAATCCCTCATTAGTGCCGGTCTGGCACTATTGAAGACGTGTTTGATTGATGGTGTGGCGCTCACGCGGGTCAAACAGAGTACGAAATGGATCGCCAGCATGTACTTCGTGAAGTTCCAGCGTGGGTATGGCAGACTTGCTCCACCCTGTCGAACCCACAAGAGTTTCGTGTAACATATAATAGTTGCATTGCGGGCTACAGAACCTCACCAGCACTAGTCGACGGCGAAAGGAAGACTCACATCATGCGCACCCGATTAACCGGTGACGGCTAAAACTGCTTGAAAAGCTCCCGTTCGTACAAAGCCTTTCGGGTCTGCAGCAGCACGTGTACCCTGTTTCTCTGCGTGGAGTTTGTCTTCTGCCTGGTTGCGTGTATGCGTGTGTATTTATTATTAGCATCGACCGCGCTAACCGGCTGACCAACGAAAAGACGGCAGTCTCAGTGCGGTTAAAAACACAACACACTTGTAAATGCCATGAACTGGGACCCCGTGAGGGAGCGGCATGCGGAAGACTTTCTTGTTCTCTGGATTAAAGCTAGAAACGTACGGCACAACAACAGAAGGAAACTGCACGTGTCTACCAACAGATACCTTGCACTCGAGCTCGTTTGCTTTCACGATCATCCTCCTTGCTTTCACCATCATCACTCTCATCGTCATTTTTACAGTTTTTTTCGGCAGTTATTCTCTAGCCCTGCGCCGTTGGTTGTGGGAAAGGTCATCTGGCTCGATGCTCTTGCTCTCTTCCGCTCCATGATTCCCTCCTCGATTGCTGTCTTAGTTGTTCTCTTGTCCTGCCGTTCCCTCTCTTCCTCCTTCATCACTACCAAATGAAATTCCCCTCGTCGCCGTCATTATCATCTTTTATCTGCACTAACTACTGAGATCCTATCCTGGTGGCCGTGGTGGAAATTGGTCGATCAGTAATCCATGACGTTTGAAAACATCACGAGTTCGTACTGACAGATAACGAGCCAGCTCGAAGGTAAACCGTCTCCGAATCCTGTTGGTATCATGCGCCTTCAGGCGAAGCAAGGGTGTTTTGTTGTGCGTGTGTGCGTGCGCGCGAGTGAACCGGCGCTATTGGGGGTTACAGCGGCGCCCAACCGGCACACTCTTCCGGGCAAGCTCTCAATAGTGCCGGTCTGGCTCTATTGAGAGCTCCACCTGTGTCGAGAGATTTTACTCGCACTATACTGGTTCCTCGACTGCTGTAGTGACTTTGTTGATAGTTTTAACTTGCACCGGTAGTCCGTAGCGTTATGCTAACCCGCGGGCGTTGTTTTTACCTTGTCCTCAGATACTTGGTGTCGGTCTGACCATGACGACCGAGCTGATCGACTTCTTCACCGGCGACGAGCGCGCGGAAAAGCAGGCAGAAAAGGAGCTACCGTGGGCGTCGCGAGAGGTGCTGGCCGGTGCCGGCTTCAGCGAGAAGAGTGATGTCTACAGCTTCGGAATTGTGTTATGGGAGATCATGCAGAAGGACCCCTCCCTGCCCTACGCGAACCTTTCACCGAGCCAGGTGTGAGCGCTTGTTATCGAGCACGCGTTCGTTTTTGCTCTAGCAGGCGTACCCGCATGTTGGTAAAACCCCGCGTCAAGAGACGTACAGTCCACCCTCATCCAAAGGTGTTATCTACGCATCACGCACCCTCGTCGCAAGCCTCTGACGAAGTGTATGCCATGCGGGGGATCCCTTGCGCTCAACAACTCGAGACAAAACTACTGTGGACTGCCGGGGCACCACTTTACCGCTGGCCGGTCGAAGATACGAGTCGGTCAACAGCCAATTCCCATATATTCGCATGCTTAGACCTTCACAGTTCAAAATGTATTTCGGTTGGCGTATGTCTGCGGTTAAGCAACACCAAGCAGCACCGTGCTCGATGTGAACTGGAGCTTGACGAATTGTTGTTCGATCCCTCATGTAGCACCCGCTGAAGTCGCTGAATCCGTTTTATACAGTAAGGACCAAGTCGATGAATCCTTCCTTCATCGTGACTGCCAATCAACAGGTGGTTGGGGCCAAATACAACGGTGAAGGCCCTTCGATACCAGAGGACTGCCCGGTGGCAATCAGTAGGTTGATGAAGAGCTGCTGGAGCAACCTGCCTGCTGATCGACCCTCATTCGACAAGGTCGTAGATACCCTAGAAGCTCTTTGCGTGTAGACACACCCTGCGACGTGCGCGTGCAGTGCGTTGTAGCAGCGTCCCAGGAACGGTTGCGGAGTTGACACTCCACCCATTCGTTTTTATGAAGATTTTCCACTGGATGATCTCGGTGGCGGCGGAACGTGTTGCTTGGGGTGTTGGTGCCAAAAATCGTTCGGAACTACAGTCATGCTATCAATTCGAGTATCAGCCGTCTTGACCAATGAGTTGAATGAACTGTTGTTGACGTTTGAAGGGCGTCCACAAAACACGCACGAGTTTAGACAGGCCTACGCACCTTAGCTAAGCTACATTTTCTGCACCGTAGCCGTCTCTAGTCCACTGGAATTTACCCCACATCCGATTGGACTGGCACGAGGCCAAATTCCATGAACGCATCACCTATGGGTAGCCATTTAGGGCACCTGTATGCACAACACGGACAGGTGTTTGGGGGTACGTACCCGGGTATCTAGACGCCGATGCTTTGTGTAAGTTCTGACGCTTCCGAATTCCTCTACCGGAACTTCTGTAGTACGTTCTGTATTTACCCCGTGGCAAAATACCCAAACACCCGCGGTAGAGCAAAAAAGCACAAACACGGAAAACGTTCGTGCGTTACGTCACCATTCCATAGGCTACCCCCCCCCACTCGTTAATCAGTGATATCCCTAACCTTTCCAATACCCTACCCGATACGTCGGTAAGTCTTGCCACCTTTCCAAAAAACCCTACCCGGAGCTTACAAGCCTTAGCCTTACAAGAACAACACTAAGACCTTGAGAGATCACACGTCTACGCATTTTTTTCTACAGAAAGTATTCCATATGGCGCACGTAGTGCGACCGGAGACGAACAAGATTTTTGCGGTAGAGGACCGGTACTACGTAATTTCTCCTAAAATTTACTAAAAATTATTGTATTGGTGGTGTTGCGGGGAATCTGTGGGTGACCGTTCAAGTTTGAAGCCCATACAGTACGCAAAGGGAAAAGTTCTTGCCACCTTGACGGGGCGGTTTCGGGGGCTAAGCGCCCGCCCGCGCATACGTAGCATCAAGGGCTAAACAAACGTTACAAACGAATAAAACATAAGAGACGGGAATTCTATGAAGAAGCGAGGCGAACGTACTCCGAACGTGAAAATCAAACACGCAAGACGGCAACGGCAACAGGTCCTCAAGCTGTAGCTCCTTGGCAACTGGACCCATTGCCTGCCGTACATCCGTAGCAGTGGCTTTCAAGCACGATGTCGGTGGTCTGCATGTCATCCACCGAGTCAACGTCGAAGACAGAGTAGCCCTCCTGAAAGCATACATCGCGAAAACGGGGTACAAAAGGTCAGAAACACTGCAATTTTCCCCGCTATGGTGATGCCTGACATTCCAGAATATGTTACTGCGGGGGTCCCCGAAAAAGGCGGTCTAAATAATGCGGTCGCCCTTTATGCGGCACGTCAAATTAGCTGGCATAGAGGGAGTAATCAAGTTGTTTTACACATCGAAAAAGGCAGCTGCTCCATGTAAGGCAGTCATTTTGGGCTGCCCCACAATCGCCTTGTTCGGGGACCCCAAGTGTTTTTCAACTGAAATTGAAGTTTGAAATCCAAAAGTTTTTAATGTTAACACGCAAGGGAACCGAGTTCTGGTCGTGGGGTACATATTTCGTGCCCTGCTGATCGCTGTTCCAAGCCCGAAGGAATCGCTTGGGAAGTGACCCCGCCGCTGCCGCACGCTCGCGATTAGAGGGGCCCAAAGCAAAAGTTGAGAACGTAAGGCTTTCATGGATAGGCTCTAAGCACGCAGTCGCCCTGGAAACGGATCGGAACAGCGAAGAGAAACAAACCTTAACAGCACGAAGCTTTTCCGAGGCACCGGCATTCGTCCCAGCCGTCCCCATTCCCAATTCCAGTTGCTGATTGAAATCGCAGTCAAAAACGCGCCCGTCCCATCCAACATTGATGGTATCCCTGTGTGGGGCCAAGCGGATGAAGGAGAGCAGCACATCAGCCAAACTTCACCCACGCCGAAGTACGAAACCGTCCACAAGAACGCAGTTTCAAATCGAGAGGCGAACAGTGATCATACCAAGGCTAGTACCGAATTCTTACTTGCACATGAGCCCGCTGCACGCCGCCGTGTTGAAGTTGCGGACAAGCAACTCCATGTACTCTTGCAGTTCTCCCCTCCGGTACAGGAAGTCGGCGAAGCGCTGCATGTAACGACATGTATACAGAACAGTGGTGCGCTATATAAAATTCGATAGGCGTTCTCCAGAACAATCTGTTTCCAAGAACAATCACACAACTTACGTTGCAACGCTACATGTACTGGGAGATGTATTCAGCAGTATAGCGTACATGGTCAGCTTGGGATGGATATCCTCACCTTAATAGGCATGTTTGTGATGGTGAAGAGGTTGTTGAACTTGATGCCAAACGCTTCGTCCAGTTCCTCCTTGTACTTAACCTCCAATGCCACCTTCCAATGCACACCAAAAGAGGGCCCGAAACACACCAAACCAAGATCAATCATGGGGTGTACACCCCAGCGCAAGACACGACATTGGCACATAAGGTATGACTGCACGAGGTAAATCAAAACGCGAAGCACCACTTTGAGATGCCAAGGGGTGGGCCACGAGGGATTCAAACGAAAAACTTGTGCTGTGGTACACGCACCTGTTCGGGAGGCAGGAATCCCCCGATAGGGTTATAGACGAGGTCGAGCTTCAGACCCGAGTCGGGTTGACCATATCCGAGCGCGTTGAGCATCATGAGACCCTTGATGCTACGATCGAAAACCCCGCTGCCTCGCTGCATGTTCACGTTCTTCGGTGAGTAGCACGGAAGTGACGCTACCACATGGACCTACAATCAAGCGAGAGCACAACGTGTCGCACGTCCGCGGTCAGGGTTACTTCGAAAAGAGATGTTCCCTCCACACAAATCAAAATGCCAGATGTTCTCGGCATTCAAACATGCTTGAAACAATGCCAACATCGAAGGTCATCCATCAGAGCATTGAATAACATAAAAGGGGAGAGCCAGCACACACTCTACTTCTACGTTGACTCTACACCTTCACCGTCCAAGCTCACGCCCAATACTTTGGATGGATGATACCTCGCTGGCTTTGCACTCCGCACTTCGACACACCTTGTTCTTCGCCAAGAACTCTGCAAGGTCTTCCTGCCCTGGCTCTTGAAGTACGGTCAGGTTACACCTGCAGCAATTAGGCACAAGACAACAAATAGGTTCATGCCACAGGTTCAGCAAAATTCCCTACAGATAGTGCGGCGATGGCAATTCTCAGTACGGTGCACCAGACCACGGTGACAAATTAGCCAGAAAAGGGTGCACAATCTCCATCGCATCTCCGGCTCACCGGTCAATAACTTCGAGGCCAAGAGCTCGGCCTTCCTCCACCATGTATCGGAAATGGTCGTTAAGTTCAGGGGCTCCTCCGGTGATGTCCAAAGTCGTCACCGTTGGGCTGTTCTTGATTATCTGGATTGGCGCGATGGAAATGCTGTCAAAGTTGGCATACAGTAGGTGTCCCGGTATAGTGCCGGTATGTGCCCAGGAGGGTAGACCGGCACTATTCAGAATAGTGCCTGAATAGTTCCAAGCAGGCGCTTTTCAGGGTTAACTATCCGTCAATATTGCCGGCTTGGCACTATGAGGACTGTTCCACTTCAGAGTTCAGCGCTTACGCTTTGTGGGGCTGACAAGAGTACCAAACGATCGGTGTACGGATCAATTGTTAAGTGGGCAAAGTGGTAGGCGGGCTTCTTTGAGTTTCGTGAGGTTCCTAGCCTGTCGACAAAACGGCTTACGTCAACATAACTTGACCGGATACATTTGTTGCGCCATGGTTCTCTTTCCACCTCAGCGCACACACCAATGTAAAGAACGATGCCGCTGCCTTTAAAACGTAGACCGTGCTGCCCGATTAAAAGGCACCTCGCTATGAAATGATGTACTGAAGTGTCAAGAAGGCCGGAGCGCTATTGATGCAACCTCAAGGCACCACTCGACAGCGAAAGAATGACGCTCTTGCACGCACCCGATGTACTTTTGGGAGGTAAAAAATGGATGTAGAGCTCATTACATGAGCACAACAAACACATGCAACCGTAGGAATGAAGACGATAACAAACTTCACTCTTCCTTCGATAAAAGTCTAGAGAAAAGAACAAACCTTCATAAGCAAGAAAAACGACCGCAAAAGAGCGCTATGCTGAACGCTGCAGCTATGCTGATCTACCCCCTGGCCATCTGCGTAGAGCTGGTAGGCTTCAGCAGCAGCAAGGGTGGTACCCCTACCGTGGTGTGAGGCCTGTGTTTGGCGTCGATGTCTCTGTGTAGTAGTAGCATCGACCACTCTAACCGGCTGACCAACGACAATACGTCAGCCTCAGTGCGGGTGAAAACACGAAAATTAATGTTCCTGAAGGCCCTGATCTGGCACTCCTTGAGAGGGTGTCATTGAGGAGGCTAAGCTATTCTGATTAAAGACAGTAACCGTAGCACCAGAGGACAACTGCACGTGTCTACTAAGGCTACTGCTTTGCACACGCGTTCGTTTCGGAGTGTGTTCATCCTTAGCCATGTATTTACTACCACTACTCTCGTCGCAAAAATATTTCCACTTTTTTTTGGGCGTTCATCTTTAGACTGCCCCCTGCGGCGTTTGTTGTCAGGAATGTCATATGGCTCGAAAGGCTCGAAACTCTTGTTCCCTTCAACGCCATATATTCCCCCTCCATCATTACTGCTATCCTTCGCTATTCTTCCCTTTCCACACCCCTTCGTCATTACCACCATCCTCCTTTTCGCCCACCTCATTACTGCTGAAATCCCAACCTACTAGCTGAATAGACTGGTGGAAGTTTGTCGATCGGTAAACCATGACTTTGAAGACGTCACGAGATCTTACCGACAGAAAACAAGCTATACTTGTAGTTCGAAGGTAGACCGTTTCCGAATCCTGTTGGTGTTGAAGGCCTTGGATGGGGAAAAAGGCTGTGTTTGTGGTGTGAACCGGCATTAT